TTGGTGTTCTGTCCAATGAACATTGAGAAATGTTTAATAAAGGCCGTCGTCAACTCCTTATAGATATTTATCGAGTTCGCCTCGAGTCGTGAGAACTAGTCGAGAGCTATTCCTCCTAGACTCTCGACAAACAGCAGGCACTGGACCGTGTCCCTCTCCTCGGCGGATCTGAACTGGTATCGATTCATGCAGATGCCAAACGATGTCAAAAAATGCCGGGGATCAGTATTGCCTTCATAAATCTTGATCTTGAGTTTCTCCATATGTTTGACAGGCGTTCCCGCTATGCGCGGCGTAAAGGGTGTCTTTTGTGTTTCCTGAATGACGCGCTCGATCTCCGGGGCCGCGCTCGTTGCTTGATGAATTTTTGAAGTGATCTCGCGAAGTTGTGCCTTCATTGCCTCGAACTCGGCATCGCGACTTAGATCTGGTGGCGCTGGTGCGTTCGCCGATCCGACAGCAGTGGACCGCATAGTTCTGGCTGGATCGCCATCAGTATTGAGGTCGTCGATGATGTTCCGAACTCGAAGGGGAATCCGTGCTTGACTGAGCTCGGCGATCTGCGCCGCCATCTGACTGAAGCGTTCTTCGCTCCTTTTGTGGATAGCTGCAAACTGAGCGTTGAACACTTGAAGCAGCAGTACAGTCCAAAACCTCCTACGGCTGCGGGAGTTTGGCCGGCTTCTGTTCCAGTGTTTTCCCCAGGGGTTCCTCCTGTATGCTCTGCGGGGGCTCGGATGTTGCCGTTCTATTGGCCGAGAGGGTTTTCTTCCTCATGGATGTTGGCTTGGTCTGTCATCGCTGATCCGATCTCTCCGAAATCCGATCTAAAACTGAATATTCTGTTAAGTCCCCCTACCTGGCGCGCCAATTGTTGATATGTAAATATCGACAAAAGTCAAAACAGTAACTTAGATCAAAATTCTGGATTTTATTAAGATCGGTCGAGAATACAACTGAGTTCGTTTATATGATAATAATAAACAAACTAAGACTTAGGAAATTAAGAAGCTAATGAATGCCTTGAGCTCTCAATCTCCAAGTCTCTCGGGAATTTTCTTGTGTCCTCTGGTGTCGATTCCTCTTCTTTTATATATGTCTTCTAAGTCGGTCTTCGTGAGTCTTTTCTGCGATATGGGACCGAGAAGACTTTCCTTTTCTCTCGATCGTTTTCCTTTTCTCATGTCAATTTCCTTTCTTCTCGTCAATTTCCTTTTTCTACTCGGAAACTTTCCTTTTTCCTCCGAACTCAGAGAACTTCTCGGTTCCTTCGAGAAGTTTCTGACCGACTTTGGCTAGTCAGGCTGCGTTCGGCCAAAGAACTCACCCGGCCCAATATTCCCGGTATATTTTCTTCGTAAACCGGGCTTACGTCGTGCCGATCTCGGTTTATACAGGAGAAAACCGGGAGTGCGGTTTTCACCTCCAACAACTTCCTTATACACTATTGTGAAATACATACCCACACAATTATTTTAAAATATAGTATGTCTCAAATTTATTGTAAGTGTATTGCAAATTATGCTATGAAACATTTGTTGTAATAAATTATAAACCATTTTTTTATAAAAAAAGTTACAAGATATAAAAACTTTATCAATACAACCGTTAACGCAAGTAAAAGAAATTAAAATAATTTTGATAAAGAAGTAGAAAGTAACCAAGCTTTCTTTTTAAAAGTCATATAGGCTAACAGATAAAATCTGTTATTTTCTCCTCCAATATATTTTTTATTGGTTATTATTTTGCTGATGAAACTCCAAAATACATTTGGCATTACTTTGATTAATAAGATAAAACTAAATATTGTTGATGATGAATCTGAAACTTGTTTTTTCATTACAATAAAAATATTTGATCAAACTATATGCATCTTTTATATAAAAACCGATATTTCAGGCTTTTATCATCCGACGAATAATCCTGAAAAGTAAGTATATTCATCAAATAACCCACTAACCGAATTTTCTAATGGATGTAAAGTATAACACTATTTTAAGGAACATTTTTCAAGCTTATATCTTTACATTTTCTTTTCCATTATACTATTTTCATAACTTTATAATTTCTAGAAATTTGGTACAAAACTAAAAGCTTAGACAACACGATACGTCTGAAATGTTGTTAAATCAATATCATATATTTATACAAATTTTTTTTTCTATACACCATATTCACTTTTTAGTTTTCTTACATATTTTACTATTTTTGTAGAATTTTATTATTATTAGTTTATTTGCTCTTTCTGTTCTTGGAAACTTTTGATATATATATATATATATATATATATATATATATTATATTTATCTTTCTTTTGGTTTTTCTTAAGACATGTTATAAATTTTCTAAGTACAATTTGACACATGTTGAAAACTCAATTATAATATTACTGTGTATCACATTGCTGTAACACTACATAATCTTATCAAAATTAAGCATAAAAATTATATAAATAAGTAAAAACTCTATAAATTTATAATGTTGAGACTTTGGTATATTATTAATTTATAGAACTATTTATTTATTGATTTTGACTAAGAAACTATACAATATTTATTTATTTTAAACAATTATTTGCAAAATTATAATCTTCTAAAACTTCCTTTAATTTGAAGTAAGCAACTTTTTGCAATAAGAATATCACCAATAATTTATAAAAAATATACCGTATAGATGATTATATTGAAGACAATATGATACATTTGGAAACAGTTACGCGTAAAAACAATTATCACGTCTAGAATTCTTTATAATTTTGGATACAATTTTATAAGACAACACCAATATTTTTTGATGCAATAAGAAAAAATGAAGATGAACTCCAAACATATTTCATTTTTAAGTAAATACCAAACAACATTATATTCATATTTTAGTATTTTATCTTAATATATCTATATAGAAGTTTTTATATAATAATTATTAATTTATGATATTGATGGGATCATATACAGTATTTACATGGGAAGTTTGTTAAAATTATAATCTTATTATCTTATCGAATTGTTCAGAACGGGCCTAACTTGGAACTGTAAAAATTTATTAATTTACAGTATTTATTAATTTTTCGAGTATTAATTTATAGAATTTGATGTTATGAGCAGGCTTTGCAATCACAATATTTTTTTCACCATCTCTATTCAAATTCCAAACATTTCAAGTTTTCAAAATATGGTTAGTTAACTTGTATGAAAGCCCGTAAAGAAAAACAGCTGTGAATATTAAAACTTACAAATTCAGACACCAGTTTTTTTTATATAACTAGGAATTAATCCGTGTATCATGTGATACGCAGGATTATAATATCTTAAATCTTATTTTAGAAATTAATTTTAAAACCTTTAGTTATAAATTTTAGTTATGCGGGATAAGCTGTTTATTTACTCCATTGACAAATCATAATAAGCTGTTTATTTAACCCATTAACAAATTATAATATTTAATAAGTTAAATGTTTTAAAACTAATATTTTGAATTACAATACTTTTTTATAGATATTCAAATGGTAGATATTACATTTTTTATTCTTTTTTTTATATAATACCTTTTTATTGATATCAAATAGTAACATAGTTCAAATGAAGAGCTGAAGTTATTACAGAAGGAACATATAAATGACCTATAAAATCAGATCCTATCAGAATATAATGTTTTGCAAGTATATTAGCTGGTGCGTTGTTTGATCTGTGTGTCCAGCAAAATCTTATCTCTTCAAAACGCCTTTGCCATTGCCTGAGGGGAAATGGCTCGATTTGTGTGCGTGATACTCTAACTTGCCATTTGATAATATGGATGCCACTAATTTGGGAAAAATACCATTATAACCTTAATGAAAGGGAGCCATACACTGTGTCCGTAATATTGGGGGAATTTTGTTAAATATCGATTTTGTAACAATATTTTTTGAAAATCAAAAAAAAATTGTTGCATGCCGGAATCTGGGCTCGGGAAATCGATTTTGTCGCCGGAAAACGAAAATTTGAATCTTCGTTTTATCGTCTGCGGTCGTCGTTCTTTGCCGCCGGTAACTCACTGCATTTGAAAGCGCAGACTTCTCCTCCCGTGCAGCTCGTCGTCGTCGGAGATCCTCCCCTCTGTCAGCTCCAATTAGCTCATCTTCATTCTCCGATTAGGTATGGTGTATCTTTCATTAGGGGAAATGCATGCTGTGGTATGTACATTAGATCGATTAGGTAGATTGATTGTTGATTAAACGTCCAAATTGAGCTAGAGTAGACGTCGCAATATGTAGCGAAATGGGGGAAAAAACTATAGATTTAGGACAGTTGGTATAAATTAGTACAACTGATAATGTGTGGACGACTGGTACACAATAGTACGAATATGAGGGTTTAGAACTACTAGTACACAATGGTACAGATCTGAGTTAGAGTACAACTAACACTCAATGGTACAACTGTGACAAATTGGGTAATAATTAAACGCGTATTTTGGTTTCCTATATACAGGAAGGGTGGGGTAGAATGAGTCCGGCCGTGAACATACACTTTGATTATGGAGGGAAGTATACAGAAGTCGGAGAGGTGTTTAAATGGATTGGAGGAAGTTACACGTTTGCAATATCTTTGAAATACCGTGCAATGGAGGAGATTACTTACTCGGTTTTAGTAGAGACGATATGCAGGAAGATGGCAATAGATGAAAGAACAGCGAAACTTAAACTGAGCTACATTCCATTGGTATTTAACCCTCAGAGCCAGTCATATATTTATGATGATGGGGATGTTTATGTGTATCTAACAACAATGGACGAAAAGGGATTTAGATCTGTTTTGCACGTGAAAGTAATGAAAGATGTGGAAGTAACTCAAATGGAGCCGCAACTGTCTCCGCAACTGTCTAGAGCTGGTCAAGGTAGCTCAGTTGGTTTGAACAAAGGAGAGCTTGGTTCAAATGTCAGTGCTGATGCGGGGATCCTAACTATCTACAGAGCAGAGGGACCAGCAAAGCAACACAATTAGCCAATAATTGAAGAGCCGATGGAAGATGATGTTGATGAAGGAATGCATAAAGAATCTGGGGATGATGGTAACGCAAGTGACGAAATTTTGGCATTGAATGATGATGTATCAGGAGGTGATCGCATGGAGGAGCCTCACTATTATGAGCCACCATGTGCTGATGAAGAAAGTCAGTTAGTTGCTGAATGGGAAGATGGTGTGGGTCTTGTAGTTGGTCAAGAGTTTAGTTCTAAAGCGACAGTGCAACATATGATTGAGAGAGCTGCACATAAATAATGTTTTTCGTTCAATACTATCAAGTCGGATAAAACAGACTTATGCTAGAATGTCGTCAGAAGAAACAAGGTTGTAAGTGGT